CTCTCTCTATCTCTCTCTCCCCCTCACTCAAACCAACAAAGAAAAAAATATATTTTTTAAACACCGTATGCAAGACCTTCAACTTCATTGAGTGTCAAAGCTCATTTCTTTTTGACTTCTATAGAACTCATCATCTTAGGAGAAACAAAAAAGTCTTTGTTGAAAACAACCACGCAACAAAACGCTTGTTACAAGTATAGCACACAGTTTCTGAAATCCTAAGGCGGGTTAGGAAAAAAAATGGTGCAAAATAAAACTCTTTTGGTGATTTAAAACTTTCTGAAAGTTTCTATATTTGCACAATAAAAGCATTTCGTGATGCAGACCAAGAGTTCCCGGAGAATCACTCTAGCTAACGCGTCTGCCTCGTGCAAAGGAGTAATCTGTGGAACTTATGATCCTTATCATGCTCTTTAGATAGGTTTTCATTATTCTCATCCGTCTCTTTTCCAAGGCCCCATTGATATTAGCCAATATCACTGTGTCTGTTTCCGAGGTATCACAGGACGGTCCGAGTGCAGACAGAGCAGGGACAAAGCCAGCATTCACTTCCACTTGCTGGACAGTCTCGGGCACCACCGTAGCCTGAAGCTGTACCGGAATGTCCCCCGGTCGTGTTGCGATGTGCCAAACAGTTTTAAAAGGAAGAGCACTCGGTGCCTTGAGCCATGCCTGCGTTTTCCTTCCCCTCCTAGTTCTGCACTAAAAGAAATGTGGAAACTATTTTGTTCCATCAAACGCTGAACAGCCTGTTTTGTTAAATCTGCTCCGTGTGACTGAAAAGAGTTTTTCGTCTGAATAGTCCCTCTCGAATGGGCTACAGCTGCTTTATCCCTGAGAACAGAAGTCATTTTTTCGCCTGAGCCGCAGCAGTTAGACCTAAAAATAACAGCAGCAGCTGCGGGGGGAGCCCTCGGTACAGCCCGCCCCGGGCCGGATGAAACCGAGGCGCTTGCTTCAATCAGCGCTGTCTCCAGGACAAACAAAACGGGTCTGGAGCCACAAACGTCACACAGGTTCTCTTCCTCCAAGTTAGCGATTTAGAGACGGGGATGTGCAGTCTCCCAGGGTCTGTGCGGTGCCCCTCCCGTCTGAGAGGATGACGCTGTCGCCCCTGTGTCCATGGGCTCTCATTTCCTCCCTGCGCAGGTGGCTGCCTTATACCCCAGCCCTGCTTTGTCGGGGACACCTTCGTGGAGACTGTGCACCCCCGTCTAATGCGCCAGTAGCACTCAGCACGGTGCACCTTCCGTGTTAGATTAGACAGGTGTTACCTGCGCACGTGGGCATGCTGCACACAGGTACTCTTGCAGACTACTTTGTAATGTCATTAACATGTATGTTATACACCCGATATACTTCTGCGTGCCGTTGCCATGCATGTAGATAAAAGTGTGTGTGTGATCTATGCAGGGACGGTTCTTTTAAGCACACTGGCCTTTACGAGAATCCTCAGGCGTCTGCCCCTGTTTTCTGCCTCCGCTGAGCCTGCACCTCTGACTCAGCTGTGCCTCAGATCTTTCTGTCATCAAGATGCAACCTTTTCCTGCTCCCCGCGTGAGGAATGCTGCTCCCTGAGGCCCCGAGGGTTCTTCTTTTAGGAGCAGCTCTGAGCTTGAGCTCTGGCTCCTCGGGTTCAAACCCCAGCACCGCCATCGGCCAGCCCCACCTCCACGGGTCACCTCACCTTGTGTACCTCACTTCTCAGGCGTCAAAGGACAGTCGCAATAGTCTTACCCGAATAAAATAAAACTGGCTGATACAGGTAGAGTGTTTGGATTGGGGCTTAGCAAATGGTAGGGACTCCATACACATGAGCTTGTCATTTATAAGGATAATATAAAAATGCTACTTTTCAGGACTTCACACGTAAACAGCGAGGCTTACTTGAAGACTATGTAGGGTATGAGAAGTGACGTTGAAGAATAATGGTAATCGGCAGGTGCACCAGGGAAGATTGGCTGCTTTGCTCCTTTTCTAGTTTTTCTCCCACAGACCACACATTTCTCCAGGAGCAGTAAACCGAGGCCTCCACCTGCCGCTGGCCCCGTGTGTCACAGTCACACCAGGGGCAGGAGTGGGCTCCGAAGCCAAGGGAAGCTCTGGCCACCCCACTTTCTCCTTTATTTAGCACTTAACCCTGTTGGACTAGCGAGAAGCCTCGGCTGGTTTAATTAAACCTGCACGGGCCACACGGTGTAGGAGAAACCGAAGCTCAGGTATTCAAGGTATTAAGTGAAAATCCCATAGGTGGGACTTTTCTAAGTAACTTACTTGAAAAAAACAAACATGACCAGTACAGATGAGCAATACGGAATAAATACTGTGCATGATCAGTTCCGTTTTGATCAGCTGTGGCTGCAGAACAAAATGTCACAAACTGGGGCCGATATGTACTTGTCATCATTCTGGAGGCTGGAGTCCAAGGTCAGGCTACTGGAGAGAGGCCTTCCTCCCGGCTGACGTCAGCCACCTGCGTGCCGTCTGCTCGCACGGCCTTTATTCGGCGCTGCGCTTGGAGAGAGAATCATCCCACTCTTCCTCTTTTATTTTTTAAAATATTTTTTCTTTATTGATTTTAGAGAGAGAGAGGAAGGGAGAGGGAGAGAGAGAGAGAAACATCGATGAAAGAACATCGACTGGCCGCCTCCTGCATGCCCCCCACTGGGGATCGGGCCCACAACCTGGGCATGTGCCCTGACTGGGAATCGAACTGGTGACCTCTTGGTGCAGGGTCGACGCTCAACCACTGAGCCCCACTGGCCGGGCCACATCCTCTGTTTTGAATACAGTGTCTGGCAGATAGAAGACACCCAATCAATGTTTGATAAATGAATGATTCGTTATCAAATCTTATATCCGCAGATGTTTTACTGGTGTCATTTTTTAAATTGCTCTGTCAGAATCCCAGTGTTCTTTTGTAATCATCAGAAGAACTTACTGTCTTAAAAAAATAAAAAAATGAAGTATGTTCTGTGTATATATGAGACTTTAGGGGAAACAGACTCCTTGCAAATACCAAAGTATCTGTTTGGGGGTTATTATGTCAAACTATTGAACCAAATGTTTGGTTGAACCAAACGTAGTTTTACATTGAACAGTATTTTTTTCAACGATTTCTGCCATTTTTATCATTTAGTGTCCCTTTCAAACACCTTAAAAATGAATTGTTGAATTTTATATAAATATCATATAGTATACTTGTGTTATTGTTATTATCATTTCTCCAGGGGAGAAAGGAAACCATAGATTTGTTTCTTACAGCTGATAAAAAGAAATTATGAATTACAAAGGAACTATTATTTTATTGTTTTAGACAAATTCCATTGTCTTTATTTTTTATTTATCTTTATTATTGAGAGTATGACAGATTTCCTCCCTTTGCCCCGCCCCCATCTCAGGCCTTCACCTCACTGTTGTCTGGGTTGATTGGTTGTGCGTATCTGCGTATAAGTTCTTTGGTTAATCTCTTCCTAGCCCCATGCCCTTCCCTCTGAGACCTATCAATCTGGTCCCTGCTTCCCTGTCTCTGGACCTATTTTGTCTTCAGTTTATTTTGATCATTAGATTCCACATATAAGTGAAATCATGTGATAATTGTCTTTCTCTAATTGGCTTATTTTGCTCAGCAAAATATTCTCCAGGTCCCTCCATGTCCTCTTAAGGGGTAAAAGATCTTTCTTTTTTACAGCTGCATAGTACTCCATTGTGTACATGTACCACAGCTTTTTTATCCACTCGTCTACTGGTGGACACTTGGGCTGTTTCCAGACCTTAGCTCTTGTAAATAGTGCTGCTATTGCTCCTTGCAGCCCAGAGACCCAGAAAGGTGTTACCAGAGAGCCCCTTGAGTCAGGGGGAGAGGCTGTCTCCACCTTGGTTCTTGTCATGCTCATATCCATGAATTTAAATGAATGACTCCAGATGGTTGCATTGTGATACAGCCAATTTATTTAAAAAAACAAAACATTAAAGCGTGCACATTGATTAAAGAAGCAAGGCACGCAAGCCTACACATCTGGTTTATGGAGCGCAGGCGGGCTCTCAGCTACTCTGAACAGCAAGTTGGTTGGGGGATTTCTGCCTTATATACCTTCCTGTCTTTAAGTTGTTGTTTTTTATTTCAATTTCTCTGCTAGAGAGCCTGGTACAGATTAACTCTGAAGGTCTCTCCTTTTCTTTGTAATAGCTTTTCTAGAATTTATGAGGAGCACCTGGCAATTAGATCCCAAGACTGCTGGTTTTTCTGTTTAAACAGTGGGATGAGATAAGACTGTACTTGCTTACCTTATACTTTCCGCACAGCTTTTTGGCTTTGTTTAATTTTCCTGACTCAGTTTCCCGATTCCATGTGTCCAAGAATTTTCCTAGCTTTTCATTGACCTATAACACTATAAACACGGGGGTGCATATATTCTTTCTGATTGGTGGAACTTCTATTTTAAAAACAACAAACAAAGAAACCAAGTGTTGAACTGTGGTTCTTTTTGTTTGTTTGTTTGTTTGTTTGTTTGTTTGTTTTTTCATTTAAAAGGAACACATTTGGGGTTAGAAGCACAAGTATAGTAAGTAGACTTAACAAGGTCTGAATTGAAATCCTTACCTACCAGGAAGAGTTCTTGACAAATAAATTCCACTCTATGAGTCCAAGTCTTCTCATTTATAAGGTAAGAGGCGAGACAACACGCCTTCTGAGGCTTCTTCCAACTCTAAAATTTGAATACTCAGTTGAAAGGTGTTGATTAGTGCCAAGAACACATCCTGTAGATACAACCGATGCTGATTTTATGTCTAGGTGAGGAATTCACCCGCCCAACTCCTGCACGATATATACCAACTTCTCCCCTCTCCTCACACTGTTATTCTAAAAGAATATGCGAGGAGTTGGGGGGGGTCAATTATTAGAGCGATTTTAATGTCTGTAGGATTGTTTCAGAGATAAGAAGGTCAGATAGAAATAATGATGATGGATTGTTTTTTTATTTTTTGTTTTTCCTTAGAATCAACGGTATTTATTCCCCAGTCGGAATACTCCGTTGAGGAGGATGTTGGTGAGCTGTTCATCCCCATCCGGAGAAGTGGGGACGTCAGCCAGGAGCTGATGGTGCTCTGCTACACCCAACAAGGTAGCCTGACCTGCCCCCCCGAGGCACAAATAAGCCCCTTTAACATGTTGGAGAGGGAACATCATGCTTTGAGAAGTATATTTTATCATTATAATTTTCATGGGGAAAATAAAAAGCAATGATCCGGAAGTCTTCCTTCCCTGCTGCACCTTGGAGGGTCCCTCCAAGAGGACCTGGGGGGTCCCTGCGGCCGCTGGCTGGAACACCTGACCCAGGTGGCTGCCTACGCAGTGCTCATGGGTGGCAAGAACCCGAAGCCCCCGCCCCGTCCTCCGCCCAAGGCTGCCCAAGGAGAATGGAGCAATTATTAAAAAACAATAGAAAACATTGTCCAGCCGGTGTGGCTCAGTGGTTGAGCGTCCACCCTGCACCAAGAGGTCGCCAGTTGGATCCCGGTCAGGGCACATGCCAGGTTGTGGGCCCGATCCCCAGTGGGGGGCGTGCAGGAGGCGGCCAGGCCATGTTCTCTCTCCCTCCCCCTTCCCCTCTCTCCGAAATCCATAAAGAAACACATTGTGTGTTCTCTGTGCCCCAGGAACGGCCAGCGGCACCGTGCCCACGTCCGTCCTGTCCTACTCCGACTACATCTCGCGGCCCGAGGACCACACCAGCGTCGTGCGCTTCGACAAGCAGGAGCGCGAGAAGGCCTGCAGGGTCCTGGTCATCGACGACTCCCTGTACGAGGAGGAGGAGACGTTCCGCGTGCTGCTGAGCATGCCCATGGGCGGCCGCGTGGGCTCCGAGTTCCCCGGCGCGCGGGTGACCATCCTCCCCGACGAGGACGACGGTAGGACCGCGCGCTGACCCCTCGCGGCCGGCGGCCGGGGCGCAGCTTCCTGGCCGCGCGAAGGTCTCCGGCGCGTCCCCCGGCGCGTCCCCCGGCGCTTGGGTGTCCCGCGTGACGGCATTGCGGGTGGGCTGCCTCGCACGACGGGTCTTTCTTAGGTTCAGGGTTTGAAAGGGCGGGGTCACACCCGTGTGGCTCGCCCCTCTGTGCAGTTTCTGTCGTGCGCTCCCCGCGGGTGGTGGACTTTGCCAAGGTGATGGCGCGGAGGCCGCTCGGAGCAGCTGGGCCTCGGGGCGTGGGTTTGGCTCTGCTCTGAAAGCCTGTGGGGTCACTTGAACCCCCGCGTTTGAACTCGCGTTTCAAAGGAGCCCATCGCCTCGAGGCTGTTAAACGATTAATTAGCAAGGTAATACACACATGGAAGATTAAGCACAGTGGGCATCTCGGACCCCCCAAATAGGGTGCTCCCCAGACTGCTCTCCCGCAGGGAAATGGCATTTGTACCAGACCGTCCCTCCTGCATAGAAAAGGGAGTCTTCATGTGCCTTGTTCTGGAAACACTTGTTCTTTCTTCTGAGAAATGAGAGAACAAGAGGAAGATTGTGAGGGATCTGGTGGGAAAAGTGAGAGGTGAACCTAGAGAGGACTCTCCCGGGACGTGAATATTTTCCTTTTCCCTCTTAAAACTATCCTCGTGGGAGACAGAAGAGGAGGAACTGGTAGGGCCAATTTTTTGGTTCGGGAAAAGCTGGATTAAGACTCAAAAGACTTTAATCTGAAGTTACCTTAAAACTCAGGAAGTGTTTGCCTCAAATTTAGACAATACCCTCCATGTATACACTACTCTAAGACATTTAAAGGTTGCTTTGGATTTTCTAGTTTAATACAATAATTCTGTTGTATATTTAAGTAAATACAGAAGTTTTATTTCAAATTCAACTGCTCTTTGAATGTACCCCAAAATAGAACTAAAATCCACTCTGAATGCCCATCGACATTCTCACTATTTTTATTAATATAGAAAGAAAGATCTGAATGGATTTAACATTTAAGGTTTAAAATGGAATCTATGAAAAATTTATTTCAGTTTGTTTTGTTGGGAAAATTTTTTTCCCATGAGATTGCTATGGGATGCATATGAGGGGAAAATAAAGAAAAATATTGTTATTGAGGTATAATTGACATATAGCATTACATTAGTTTCAGGTGTGCAACATAATGATTCAGTGTTTGTAGATATTGGGAAATGACCAACACAGTAAGTGTAGTTAACGTCCCTCGCCATGCATCGTTCCAAAAATCCTTCTATTCCTTCTGAAGAGAATGTTCAAGATTTAGTAACTATTAAATACTATCAGCAACTTTCAAACATTTAAAACAGTGTTATTAAGTATACTCACCGTATTACATCCCCATGACTAATTTATAACTAAGTCGGTGCCTTTTAACCTGCTTTACCCATTTTGCCCACCCCCACCTCCTGCCTCCAGCAACCAAAACATCTCTTTTCTGCATCAATGAGCTTTTTTTTTTTTTTTCCTTTTTAGATTTCACACACAAGTGAGATCATTTGCTATTTGTCTTTTCTGATTTCCTCAGCACAATGCCCTCAAGGCCCATGCATGTTGTTGCAATTAGCTAGATTCCTTTTTATTATTATTTTTTTAATGAATAATATTCTGTTGTGTATATATGCCACATTTTTAAAATGCATTCATCCATCTATCAACGCTTAGGTTGTTTTTATATCTTGGCTATTGTAAAGAATGTTTGAGATGATATCTCACTGTGCTTTGATTTGCATTGCCCTGGTGATTAGTGAGATTGAGCTTTCTTTTGGCCATTTGTATGTCTTTTCTGTCAAATGGCTATTCAAATCTTCTACCCGTTTTCTAAAACACATTGTTTGGGGTATTTTGCTATTTAGTTATATGAGTTTTTTATATAAATATTTTGGTTGTTAACTTCTTATCAGATATATGTTTTGCAAATATTTTATTCCATTTCGTGAGTTGCTCTTTTACTTTGTTGATGGTATCCTTTGGTGTGCTGAAGATTTTAGTTTAATGAAATCCCACTTTTTTATTATTGCTTTGGTTACTTTTGCTCTTGGAATCGTATCCAAAAAATCACAGCTAAGACCCATGTCAAAGGTGTGCTGCCTGTTTTCTTCTGGTTTTTACAGTTTCAAGTCTTGCCTTGAATACTCTCTTTCTTTTAGTTTATTTATATTTTTATTGAATTTATTGGGGTGACAATGGGTAATAAAATTATACAGGTTTCAGATATATAATTTACGGTACATTGTCTGTATATCATATTGTATGTTTACCCCCAAAGTCATGTCTCCTTCCCTCACCATTTATCCATCTTCACCTTCTACTTCTCCTTCTTCCCTTCCCTTTGGCAATCACCATACTGTGGTCTGTGCCCATGAGTCTTTCCTTTATTTTTCTTTGCTTAATCCCTTCACCCTTCTCACCCAACTCCCTCCCTTGGGACAGCTGCCAGTCTGTTCCTGTGTCCACGAGTCTGTCTCCATTTTGTTAGTTTATTTTGTTCATTAGAAGTCATGGTACTTGCCTTTCTCTGACTGGCTTATTTCACTTAGCACACTACTCTCTAGGTCCCTCCATGTTGTAACAAGCTGTAACATTCAAGCCTTTAATCCAATTTCAGCTAATTCCTGTGTATCACGTAAGATGATTTTCAGTTTCATTATTTTCCTAGTAGTTTTCCCACAACCATTTATTGAAGAGACTGTCCTTTTCTCCTTGTATATTCTTGGCTACTTTGTTATAAATTAATTGACCACATATGTGTGGGTTTATTTCCGGGTTCTCCATTCCGTCCTATTGGTCTATGCGTCTGTTTTTATGCCAGTACCATACTGTTTTGGTTACAATAGCTTTGCAGTATAGTTTTAATTCAGGCACCATGAAGCCTCCAGTTTTGTTCTACTTTCCCAAGATTGCTTTGGCAATTTGGGGACTTTGTGATACCATGAAAATTTTAGAATTGTTTGTTCCATTGCTGTGAGGGAAAAAAAGCCATTGGAATTTCAATAGCAATTACATTGAATCTGTAGATTTCATTGACTAGTGTGGACATTTTACAAAATTAATTATTGTGATCTGTGACAATAGAATATCTTTCCACTTGTTTGTGTCTTCTTCAATTTCTTTCATACGTGTCGTATGGTATCAGTGGACTGGTCTTTTACTTACTTGGTTAAATTTATTCCTGGGAGCCCTGGCCGGTTTGGCTCAGAGGTTGGAGCGTCAGCCTGCGGTCCTGAGAGACCCGGGTTCGGTTCCCGCTAAGGGCATGTACCTCGGTTGCAGTTTGTCCCCAGCCCTGGTTGGTTGTGCGGGTGGCAGCCACTCAATGTGTTCCTTTCACATCGATGTTTCTCTCTCTCTCTCTGTTCCTCTCTCTCCCTCCCACTCTACCTGAACAAAAAATGGAAAAATGTCCTTGGGTGAGGATAAAAAAAAATAAAAAAATTTATTCCTGGGTATTTTATTCTTTTTGATATAATTTTAAAATGGGATTTTTTTTCAATTTTACTTACTTTTAAAAGATTTTATTATTTTTTAATTATAATTGACATACAATATTATATTAATTTCAGGTTTGCAACACAGTGATTAGGCATTTATATAACCTACCAAGCGATTACCCCAATAAGTCTAGTACTCATTAGACACTGTACAGAGTCATTACATTACTATTGACTATATTCCTAATGCTTTGCCTTACACCCCCTTGACTGCTTTTATAAATGGCAATTTGTATATATTAATCCATTGCCCTTTTCATCCAGTCATTTTCCCATCCTCTTTGTATCTATCTATGTGTTGGATTCTGTTTTTTATTCATTTATTTTATTTTTAATATTCCATATGTAACTGAAATCATATATTATTTGTCTACTCTGTTGGACTTATTTCACTTACCATAATACCCTTTAGGTCCATCTATGTTGTCATAAATGGTAAGATTTTATTTTTTTGTCCAGTCAAGTAATATTCTATTGTATATATGGACAACTTCTTCTTTATCCAGATGTCTATGAATTAAGTTTATTTTATATCTTGACCATTATAAATGATGCTGCAATGAACATAGGGGTACATATATATTTTTCTTAGTTAGTGTTTTAGGTTTTTTCCAGATAAAAACCCAGAAGTGAGATTGCTGGGTCATATGGCGTTTCTATTTATAATTTTGGAATTTATTCTCATTCTGACAGTTGTGAGGTGATATCTCACTGTGGTTTTGATTTCTTTTTCCTTGTGGATTAGCAATTTTTCATATTGCCCATTTGTGTGTCTTCTTTGAAGAAATGTCTACTTCCTCTGCCCATTTTTTAATTGGATTGTTTGACTTTTCAGCTGCATGAGTTCTTTATATATTTGGATATTAACCCCTTGTCAAATGTATCATTGGCAAATATCTTCTCACTTTATGTATCTTCTCTTTTCATTTTGTCAATGGATTGCTTTACTGTATAATTTTTTTTAGCTTCAGGTAGTCCCAATTGCTTATTTTTTCTTTTGTTTCTCATGTCTGAAACATATTCAAAAATATATATATTACTAAGACTATAAGTCAGAGAGTTTGCTGCTTATGTTTTCTTCTACGCATTTTTATTCAAATCTTACATGTAAGTCTTGAATCCATTTTAAACTTATACTTGTTTATGGTATAAGAAAATGGTCTTAATTTCTTCTTCTTTGCATGTATCTGTCCAGTATTTCCAACACCGTTTATAAAAGAGACTGTCTACCCCGTTGCACATTCTTGCCTCCTTTGTTATACATTAATTTAACATATAGGTATGGGTTTGTTTCTGGGTTCTCTGTTTTGTTCCATTGATCTGTGTTTCTGTTTTTATGCCAGTACCATGCTGTTTCGGTTGCCATAGAACTTGTCGTAGAGATTCATATCAGTTAACATGATGCCTCCCATTCTGTTCTTCTTCATCAAGATTGCTT